CCTCAGAGCTACAGAAAGAAAAACGAAAAATGAATTTAGGGCTTTTCTTGTAAACTCTATAACTTTGCAAAGAAAGGCCGTGTAGAGTTGGGAGATGCCCGGTTTTAATCAGAAATTTATGGACTACAATTACGCCTCATTAAGAAAGCTTTTGGTTGCTCATCAGAGTTTCTCAAAAACTGGTTTTTCAGAAAACCGATCTTTGACAGCCTAGCAGCAGCATTCATGGTGATATTCGGAATCAGCATCGTCGACTACCTATAGTCCACTCGGTTTCGTTGAAAAAGCGATTTATCAGTTGGGGGTACTTCCCTCGTGAGAACAGGAAAAGAAGTTAGTTTGGAAAAGATTTTTTTTTCTACATTTATGTCCAAAAAAAGAAAAAAGTTGCCTCTTTAATATGTATTTGTGGTAATCGAGATTCAGAATCGTTGTCATTTTTAGGTATAACTATATTAGAATTAGTAGAAGAAGAATTTTAATCGAATAGTACGCATGTTCAGGCTAATTTTTTCTTATGATCCTCAGTAGCTGAAATAGAAATTTTTATGGCAATGAATGAACAGCGCATATTGTCAAGTATATTTTACCCCACTTAGATTTGAAAAAATCACACTTTCCATTTTCCGCTAAATGTCTGCTTGGATACGCACTGTGTATGGTCAATAACATTTGTCATGAAAGAAAATATAGCATTAGTGTTATATTATATTTTTTTGGCGAAAAGTGTTCTAAAATGTTATAAGTATGAAGTTCCAACAAAATTCAGTATTAAAAACTCTGAAAAGGTCTAATAATCATGTACAAAATCTAACATATAGCAGATGTATTCCATTTATGTGTGAGAGCTTAATGGATTAGTCTTTGATGTCTACATTATATCAGCACAACTGATATAACCGCATTAATTTCGTTGTAGGTGTAAACGTAGGATAGCAGTAGAGTTTTCACAACTAGAAATGAAAAACAATAGTTAAAACACTTGGAAAACTAACACACATCAAGGAAGAATATAGAAAAACTGAGAAATATAGATATACATAAAATAAATCTTATAGAATATCGAAGCAGACAGACTGTAATCGACTCTTTTATAAATGAAAATTAATATGAGTGCGTCCATGCGGCTCCCTCCAGTATTATATGTTCTGAAAATCGGCTAAATCTGACAATGTGCATGGTATAGTATAGTACTACCAAAAGTCTATAAAAATCAAGCCCCGCATGATCGATCGTTCCTAGTTAACAAGTTGAGATTTTGAGAAGAGCAATTTTCGAGCTGGAACTTTAAAAAGGTTGTCGTACTACTAACTGGAAAAAGCATACAAATTCTATATTTCTATCTGCAAATTAGATTTTCCTGTGACATTTTGAAAAAAATCTTAACTTGTAGTACTCATCTACTTTGAGCATAGTCACTCATTTTGTAAAGTATACAATTTAAAATCTAATTGATTATCGCTCTCATTACGATCATATGAAAGGGGCTCCTAAGCTTTCTGAATGACGCAAGCAGCTCTTCAGCACTTTTTGTTGATGGATTTTGGTGATACTTTTTGTAATGCTACACGACACAGATCTTGCCGGCTTTCACACTGTGTAATACCTATGGGAGCTGTGTGAACGCACTCGAATTTTAAATTTTTTTTATTAAATCTTTGTGTTTCAAACTTCAAATACGTATAACATCAATGGGTGATACATCGATCATTTCTTCTTTTTCTTCGCCGGTGTCTTCTTCGGGCTTTTGTCTCGACCTTTGCCTTTCGCACCTTTTGGTTCTTGACCGTCGGGAAATTCATAAATTTCAACTCGTTTTCCTTGACAGTTTGTCTAGTAAAATGAACAAAATGTGCATATAATGAAGAAATTTCTCTGTTTGTGTAAAATACCTGATTACACTTTCGACAATGTGCAGGATCTTTCATAGTGCCGTTGAAATCACCTCGAAGACATTCAGCGCAAAATCGTGTACCACAAAATTTGCACATAAATGTCTAGAATTTTATCAAACATACGGATTGTATAATGAGAGTAGTTTGTATAAGAATCACTTTCATATTTTTTGACACTTACTGCTTCAAATGACATGCAACCCCATCGGCACATTTCAATATTTTAAATATCTAAGATATTGAACAATTATTTTCTAGAGTTTTTAATTCGTTAATAATAGATATATAATCACGTAATAGAAAATTCTATTCCGACTGATCTTCAAGTTCATAGATAACGTATGGTAGTTTCTACTCTCGTCGGAATTTTAAGAGAGATAATTTTTTTAAAAACGCAGAAAGGAAAAACTCAACGTCTGTTGTTTGGTTAATTTCACAGAGCAAAAGATGAGAATATATTGTCATTGCTTAATGCTAGAAAGCGTAGAGACAAATTTAATTTGGGATTAAAATTGATGATCATGAAGTAGCAGTAGTAAGTAGCGAGAAAGCCTTATTATTAAAAGTTGAGATCTGTGGTACGCTTAAGCTAGGAGCCTCATGATCTCAGCCTCTGGAGCACCTAGCGAAGATCTGTAAACGCATTCTTAATCAGACTGATCCGCCACTGAATCATTTCTTTGTCAAATCTTCGTTAGGTCAATAGGAGGAGGGGGGGATTTACTGTAACAGAGAAGCGATAGCCGTCGCAGCGCAGGGGTAATGTACTAGTTATTTCTAATTTCTCGTAAAACTATTAGAAACTGTATGTAAATTAAATGTCCGTTTTGCTCACTCATTCATTAAGACCTTAGTTTAGCTCCGAAAAATTTGTAGTTTCCTTTTTGAAAAAACCAAAACGATAACCAATATTACTGGAATCTTTTCCATATGTGATTTTAAATAGCACAAAAAAAGGGTCGCCAATGATTTGGATTTTAGCAGTCTTTAAGCGGATTTCATGTTGGCAAAGAACATTTGAAAATATAGATGAACATGGCATACGGGAAATGACCTGTAATTTCAGCTAGCATATAAAACAACAGACAAGAGATCATTAATTTTTTAGCTATTATATGAACTATGAGGAATTATTGCAGTATTAGCTACAGTCAATTCCTTTCTTGTTCGACTTATTTCAGCCGCTCACTTCTGTGACTCATCAAATTGTGTCTCATTAGTGTTCGAACACATGTCAAACGCTTTTCTCCAAAATTACAAAATTTATTTAATAAGTACAAAAGATATTACCCAATTTACTGTGGTTTTTGTACATAAGAGCAGAAATAGCATTCTTTAACTTTTCCTTTGTTGTTATGGCAACCTTTTTTCGTAAACCAATCATTTCTTCTCTTTAATGCTGGAGTAGTGTAGTATCATGTCCTTATTGTATTGCGATCATACATAGAAACCAACTATTTCATCAAGATAAGCTACAATAACTATAAATGGCTACTATCCATGTCTGTAGGGTCAAACCATCAGAGCATCCATAAATTTCTATTCATAAACGCTACAATCGCCGCAAAATTTCGAAATTTCTCGTCAATAGGAGAGATATACGGATAAAATTTATGGATGCCTTCGTCGTTTGACCATCGCATAGAAACTTATGATTCATTTTTATTGTACATTATCTTGACCACTTAACTTCTCAGGGTTAAGTTCTATTCTAAAAGTGGGTACAGATAACCAATAAAAAGTGTCCTTTGTTTCATCGTTTTAGTGCGATGAATCACCATTGAAAGTCAATGTAATTAAAGAAGATATATCCGAAGTTTAAGATGTAGAATAAAGACCTAGCTTTCAGAAAATGTATGTTCTGTAGAGTGTTTAATAAAAATTCTTATGCGCCCGACTTAATTTAAGTCATCGTTTTGTCACAGAACGAAGACTTAGTTAAGTCGTGTACTTAAGAATTTTTGTTAAACACCCTTCTGGATTCAAAATATGACTGTATCTAGATATGCATTAATCCTATAACCGTTATTAGAGTCTCCAAGAAACCTTTGATAATTCGCTTAAAAAGGACTGCTGAAAGTTGCAAAACGTCTCGTTTTGTAGAGAAATGTCCAGACTACAATTTTGTAGGCAAAAAGGATGTCAATGGGATATGGAAACATTGACATACATATAACATTGAGAAAAAAGAAACACTTTAGAGAACTGGCCAGCTTTGCAATCATTCTTTGTCATACAATTTACACATGGGGACTCTACCTTGATGTTGATAGTTTTCCTCGTACGACATGTCTTCACTTCTGCTGATTGATTTATCCTACGTACTATGAATGCAACCAGAAAAAGGGGTTTTTGTCATAGAAAAGGACTATGATGATGATTTTTAAGACTCACTGGATGAATCCAATAGAAAATATTCGATGAATGATTTAATTAGTTATAATTCATGTGTTCCACTATACTAGTAGTACAGAACTAATGTATAATGTACTATTTTGTTTTTATCATACTGTTCGCAGTAATATGACTTTAATATATATAAATAATAAACATTTCTATTCTATTTTAAGAAGAAAAATGAGTAACACACAACCTGAAGTTGATCGTCGCGGACACATTAAAAAATTGGTCGAAATGTTTGAATTAGAATGTATCGATTCTCTTAGTAAACAAATGGCTAAACTTCATAACGATATTAATTTTTCATTATTATCAGATGAAGATAAATTAATGTTTTATAAACATATTCATAATGAGTACAAACAATGTCAAAAACAGAAAAAAGAATTAAATTTATTTGTCAATACAAAATTGAAAATAATCGATAATATACTTGAACAATCACAAAACTTTGATAATTTACGAATTCAACTTCAAAATGCACAAGAAACTGAAGAGAGACAAATTCAATTATATGAAAATGTTTTGTTTGAACTAAATAAAAGTTCAAATGAGACGAATTATGATAAATTAATCGAACAAACTGAACAACTTATTCAATTAAAAAACAAAACTTTAAAATATAGTAAAGAAAATGTTGACAGTTTTAAAACATTATTATAAACAACTGTTGTCAAAAGATGTTCTATTGTTTTTTCTAAAAAATATTTTTATCTTCGCTGGTCGATGAACAACATGTGTAATCGTAGATTTCTTCTGTATTTTATTATGTAATTATTCTTTAGATGTGTTACTATAACTAAATTAGATTAGCTTGTAATAGTGAACATTTTGTGTGTGTGTCTACAACTGTGCTTGGAAAAATAAAATGTTTTTTTTTCTGTTATTAATCAATTTGATCTATAACTTTTCTTAGTTACTCAATTGCAAGTTGAACGACAAGCGATTTACCATATCTAACACGTTTTTTAGTTCCTTTCGCGGTTGTTACAGAGGGTTCATGTTTATTTTCTTTTACAAAGTGTTAAAGAATGTCTGCTTCTCACCTCAAAGAATAGAATATAGGTCTTTATTTACAGGTTATATTCAAATAGACTATTTGGATATAGCATGAAATTTCAATGAACTAACAAAAACATAACTCGCATTATGTTGCTGTTCACTGATTTGCTTTTTAGTAATCTCGGTTTGAAAAATGTTTAACTCTTCATTTAATTAATATGCCATCCAAACACTAATATTGGCTCAAAATATGATATCAAGTATCATACGTTTGATAACTCTTTGTAATAATAATTAAGTCATATTTTTTAACCAATGTGAACTGTAAAAATTCGTATAAATCTGTTCAATCAAAAGGCTTATTGATATTAATTTACAGAAAAAAATTGTGAATTTCACTCTAAAAGAGCATCGTCAATAGCGTGGATATCACAAATTGTTTTTACTGTCATTCACAAAAAATTTTCGCATATCTGTGATCCGAAATGATGTTTACACACATAGATGATGAAAGTAACAATGTTGGAATTCAATGTGAATTTTAAACTTTAATAAATAGAAGCTTTTATTTGATAGTTTCTAGAATAAATAATAGTCTCTCATTGATATGGAATACTATCTCAGACTATTGATTCACAGCACGAATAATATTACTGGTTAGTGACGAGTTTAATGTTATATCCCGTAGTCACCATCAGTTTTTAATGAATTGACTAAGCGCCTCGCAGAATATTGCTTTTTAGTTGACATTGGTTTATTATGTCTTGTCAGATTTTTTACTAATAGTACGCATTATTGTTTCATTCGAAGAAAAGCTATTGTCATTTCAGCTGAAACATGTTTCTCTTTTATCAGCTTTTGACCTTGCTGATATTGAAAATATATCACCATGTAAGGAAAACACTGTTATACATATAGCAAGTATATCTAAATGATTTTCAATGGCAGCTACTCCTAAATTAGTTGAAGGTGAACATTTTAAATGGGAGGATGATAGCTATAGATATTACTGAGAATTACCACATATCAATTTAAGAGTAAATTAGTAATTATAACTCTTTCTCAACTGGTGTTACATACGTTAAGTATTTAACATTACACGAAAAAAGGTAAAAAATGACTGATCGTTGCATTTAGTCAATAGAATATTATTTAGTGAAAAAAATTATGCAAATATATCGAATGCACTCCAAATATTTATTAACGATGTATTAATTCACAAACAAGGAACAACGTTTGAATACCGTTATTGATAAAAACTAGTAATAATTCATATTTGGCGTATAATAATAGATTTAATCAAACCCCGAATATACAACAAAGAAACTACATTTATAAACTGCTACAATTGCATTTTTTTGAGAATGCTTTGTGCTCAAAATCACAATCAAACGATAAATACGTGCAGACAAGATTTTGCTGTACAATAATTGGTAGTTCTAGTGAGTATTTCAATCGTTTGTATAATTCTTTGTCTAAATGTCGAAAGAATTGACGTTTATATCCGAGAAATAACCTTTTTTCGCCAATTTTTTACTCTCTATTTGACCCACGGGACGGACGAATACATGGTTGTTATTTATTGAACTTTTTCTTAAAAAATTAACTGCTGAGCGATAGAAGGCGTAGGTTTGAGTACGTGAGCGAACGATAGATTTATTTGACATACGGATGCTTTAGAATCAGTATTATAATATTTGTAAAAGGATCAATATACAGATGGTTCTAGCCTAGCGCATAACAAATAATTAAGAAATTTCATATTTTACATTTCACAGAGACTACTCTGACATGATGTTTTCTTTGCACTATGAATAATTGTCTTATTTTCTTTATCCTATGAACATCTTCTGGAAAAAGAGAATGATTGATTTGCATTTCGATGAAGTTGTTGTACATCAGTGACATACAAAATAAGAGGCAACAAGAAGATTTTCATATTTATTTAAAAACACAATGTGTTCTATCTGTGTAATATGAACGTTTTCTTATTTTTTTTTGAAAAGAAGGGAAGACATTACTCATTCTTCTATTATATCTCATAACTATACTGTCATAATGTCATCTTCAAGTTTATACATAATAATAGACGGTAAAATGGTATTCCGCTTGAGAGGAACGAGAAAGAAAAAAATTTTAACGCTGCATAATATAATTTGTTTTTTATTTCTTTTTCACACCTAACTCTGTTAGTTTATGAACACGTTCAAGGAGAGAGAGAGTGAAGAGAGAGAAAAAATAATAAACCTCTTATAAATTGAAGATTTTTTTAATATAAAACCAAAAAATAAACTGAAAATATTTATCATCAATGTAATATTGATGGATATACTAATGAAAAATAGAGTACTCTTGTTTGGGTCAATTTTTCACATGACTAGTTCAGTTATTCGAGAGCACTGATTATACAATGTTAGAAGAAAGCAAAAGTAGAAGAAAGAACAAGATTGAAAAAACAAGAAAGGAAAAGCTACTTTTTTTTAAACAAAACGACGGTGGGAAAAAAAAATGAGAAAAAGAACCGGTTTTGTTTTCCACAACAGAAAGTAATAATGAAACCTTATTATAAGAAGTGACTATGCCAAAAAAAAAGTAAAACAAAATTCTTTTGAAGATGTACGCCAATGAAAACATGTAAGTTAGAAAAATGAAGTGTTTTTCAACGTTGAAATTAAGGCTGTTGATTTAACATAAGATTACCTAAAGCTACTGGAGTAAATTAAAATCGTCATATAATATCAAATTTTTGACACATGCGTTCGCCTTGCACTATAAATCAATTCATTAAAGAATTTTAAGGCTTCAGTAGAATACACTTCTTTCGGTGAAAATATACATGTGAGTTTAGTTCAGAAGAACTGAAGTGACAAAAAGAAAAACGAGATTAGCAAGTCAGACCATATTTTTGCTTTTTCTTATTTCAATTTAGACTTTCTCATAGTGGAAAGTCTCGGCTATATTAGTAAATGTAACTAGTCTAAAAAAAATCGCTAAAGAAAATAAATACTAAATTGATTCTTATTAAATAGAAACTCTTATTTAATTAATTTTATGTTTCCGTAAAATTGAGAATGTACACGAAACAAGTTCATTGTTTTTATTAAAAAAAATTTATTATTTGAGAACGTTTTTCTCATCAACGTATTTTAAATAGCTCTTAGTATATGTCGGATTACCTGCTGATGTTTGTCATTCAAAAGACAAAATCACATCACGAATATCCAAAACATATATAATCATTCTTTTGTCTAGAATGATGTACTGAAAACAAATATCTAGCAAGGTACTAAAGAGAGGACTGTAAAAGTCTTTTTTTATCAATCTAATCTTTTAGTCAGAATATATTTAACAATTTCTAAACGATTTTATTCATATGATTTGTGTTGATTGTATCTGTCCATATTCTACTTCTATGTTTAAAAAAAAACTTTTGTTTTTCAGGATTCATAATCAAATAACAATTGTTCAATCTTATGGTAATTTTTCATGATTAAATGATTGTTACAAAAATATTTTGTTCTTACAAGTTATCACTTGTATCTATAACAAGATTAAAACTTATTTATATAATTGTATTGTTCTATATTGTTTGTTCACAATCTAATGGGCTTGCGTGTTTTAAATGCATGACTACAGATCCAAATCAAGATACGTGTAATGATCCGTTCAGCTCAATTTTAAATCCAATAAATGAAGATTGTCAAGTACGGATTAATCGAAATTTATTACTATATAATTTTAAATAATAAAATAATGTGTTTTTTCTTTTTTATTTATATAGGCCACTTCAAAAGGAAAAAATGGAACGTTTCCAGCTCGTTTTTGTGTGAAAATTGGTGGAAGAGTTATATCTACGGACGCAGGAGTCAATAGTTCCTATTTAAATGCCGTCTTATTTCTACGTACATGTGTCGTTGATAATATAATGGATTCAACAAAAAGTTTAGAATCATCTGGCAATTTTCGTTTAAAAGGATATCAAGATATGGTTGGTTCAATTAGATTACAAGGTTGGATGTCATTATGTACGTTAGACGGATGCAATAAAACAAATGTAAATTTCAATTACATATCATCTCTATTGAAAGTGATTCTATTTTTTCTGCTTTTGACTAAATATCGTTCATTATATAATTGATGAAAAGAATAAGATTTTGCTTTTCCTTTAGATAATTCTCTATTATAAGATTTATTAAAAAAAGCAATAATAATACCTTTGTTGAAAATTGTTGAATATGTTTTATAAAACTCTTGAAAAACTTTTTCAGAATTATATTTTGTAACTTTTTAGATTTTCTTTTTTTTGTTTGTTATTATCGACATATACTAACAGTAGGACATGGTATTCTGACAGTGAGTGACAAAAGAACAAGCACAAAAATCTATCCGATATAACTATACGGTGTGTAGGTAGCAGCAAGAGCAAAGAGAGAGAGAGAGAGATATGTGTTCTATCACCTGCAGTTTATTGTTTCTGTTCTTTTCCACTTAATCTTATGATTACATATACACTGTTTATTCTATTATTATCTCTCTCTCTATATATATACAGATTTAATTTATTAATAAAGAACAGACAAAAAAAACCCTCCCTATAGATCTGGTTAGAGATACATCAGAGATTAAATAAACAAAATATTTCAAAACAAAACTTCTCTCAT